GAGGAGGAGGAGGAGGAGGAGAAGGAGGAGGAGAAGGAGAAGAAGGAGGTGGAGAAGGAGGAGGAGGGGAGGGGGAGGAGAAAGAGGCGAGAAAAAGGGACAAAATATACGAATTTTTAATTCGCGCGAGATAAAAAAGGAAGGAGATAGGAGGAGTAAAGGGCGAATAGCCCTTTGGAAGCGTGGGGAAAAATTAGGAGAAAAATCGTCAAAGTATAGCGATGAGGTGGAATATTTGATCGCTCGGTTTGCGAGGGAAACCGATTGTAACTAATCCTACTAAGAGCGACCTTGAGCAAAATGATCAGGGGGGTGGTGTTACTAGTCTTGCTAGTTCTCTTCGGTGCCTTCGACGTTCCTGGCATCGAGAGGGTTCATGTTAGATATCTGGCTAATGCTGGTAACACCTGTAACGCTTGTAGAATGCACGAGGAGATCAGAGCTCTCAGCCTCAAAGCCATCAAGGAACAAATTTTGAACAAGCTGGGCTTGAAACAAGCTCCAAACATGACGGGTAGAGCCCTGCCAAGAATTCCACCGATTTCCAAGTTGATGGATATGTACGGGATGCAAGCTGATCAACCTCAACCTCTCGAGCCCGGTATCTCGCATCACGAGGAGATCGACGAGTATGCTGCCAAAACGGAGAGCGTCTTCGCCCTGGCGCAACCTCGTAAGTTTCTTCAAAGTCTTTCCTTTTTTTCATTTCCTTTCAACCGGAATCTTTCCCTTCTTGTCCAATTGCGATGCACCGCACGAGTCCAAACGAGGGGGAGGAGAGTAAAAAGAAAAAGAAAGAAAAAAAAAATAAAAAAAACGTATTTCATTAAATTTTTCTCGCATCGTTTCACGTTATTTATTCACTATTTTTTATTTTTTCGTTATTTCGTTATTTCGTTATTTCGTTATTTCGGTGTTATTTCGAAGGATGATTCGTGAGGATAATATATCGATATTAAATATCGATACATTAGAAGAAGAAGAAAAAAGAAAAGAAAATAAAGAAATATATCGTTTCCACTTTATAAAGTATAAAGTTGTTATACTTTATATATATATGTTTAGTTATCAATTCGCAATTATAACACGCATCACACGCATCGCATGTTACAGCTGCCGTATTTTTCCTTGCAACATTAATTAAATTAATCTTTTCAATTTGACGAATCGTTCATTTTGTTTACGAATCTAGTTGCGAACATTTCGTTTGATTGAATTTATCCGGATAAAGATTATATAACTTGCCCGTAACTTTACCTTATTAAACGAAATTACGAATATATCGACGAGCAAAATTAGTGGCGAGACTTTTAACTCTCTTTGTACCCGTCTTGTACCCGTCTAACAACGCATCGCACGATTCGTATCGTACGATTTAAATCTCTACTATACGAAATGCGCGTATTCAGATTTTTCTCGCTCGTCCCACTTTCTCGCGAACGCGAAGAAACCGGAGAAGAAATAAGAATTAGATTCGAAATTCGATCGTGTTCGGTCGATCGCGTCCAACTTTATTTTCCCAGTAAATTATAGCAACGCCAAAAAATTGGCCGAAAGGCCGTGATCGTTCGTTCGCGGCAACGCATTGCGATCGATCCGTTTAATTCCATGCAATCGTGTGTTAATTTTGTTTGGCCGTTATAATTTGCCTCGTTTCATTCGATTCGATTTAATTGGATTTCGAATAAAACTTTACTCGTGTTAGATATACGTACGTGTACGTTATACGAAAACAAAGTTGCAAGGCACAGAGAAGATGGATGGAAAAGTATAGCATCCTCGAGGCAAAGATATTCTTTACTCTTTTCAACGTATACCACGTAATAATCACGTTAAAGCTGTAACCTGTGTTTAGGATTGCTTTTTCTCACATGTATACACGCATCCCTTCTTCCCTTCTCCCCCCCGCCACGTATCCGAGAGGAATCAGGGTCTTCCTCTTTCAAGAAGCAAAAATTTCGATCGAGAACCGCACGAAGCCGATTATTTTCGAACGATCTTAAATTTAATGGCCAATTTATCTACGATCGTTGGTTGACAGGATTCGCATGAAACACGACAGGCTATCTTCGACCACGTTCTTAGCCGTCTGGTATCTTGTGATTACAGGTGCTTGCGAGAACTTTTAAGCGAGTTGTTATTGCATTACCGTATAATTATAGGGCCATTGTCAGTAGACGATCAAGAGAAATGACCTGTTAGCGATTCTTTGTCGGCAACCTCGAGTGCTGTTATACGATCAAATTTTTGCCTGGATAATTGTAAAAATAAGCCCACTCCTTTATTCACTCGTTCCTTCTCGTCCTTTCTCTGTGACATTTTGCATTATTTACCAATAGATTTTCTTCTTCTTTTTCTTTCTTTTTTTTTCTTTTTTTCTTTTCTTTTTTTTTTTTTTTCTTTTTTTTTGCAAGATTTCATTAATTCTTTTACCACCAGCATCGTAAATATCACTTCGTAACCGTTACGAATATTAAGAAACGCGAAAAACGATCGAGCAGCGATTTAAAAATCACACGTTGCACGTACATAATAATACGGTTTCGTGTCGGGAAGATTGGTTAGAGACGATTTCAAGTAAGTAAGAATGTATAATTAATGATCGATACGTTCGTTAGAACGTCGAGACCAAATCTCGTATAATAAAATCCGTAGCACGTGGTACTAGATGTTGCGAAGCGCGTGTGATTCATCTCGTGAAGGCGTCTCTCTGTTTTATCGAGGAGCGCAAAAACTAGAAGAAAAGAGGCGAAATTTAGCGAAAGTTTAGAAACGAGAGGGGGGGGGGAGAGAGAGAGAGAGAGAGAGAGAGATATATATATAACGGCGATGCCAATGCCAATGCCGATCCCGATCCCGAACCGGCCATCCGATTCGTAAAGGGTTATCACCTCAGGTCGCGTACATATATATCGCCTTTTTTTTTTCCAACGGTCCAAAAATATTCGACCACTCGCTCGTTCGTACGTAAATTTTTCGTCTTTCTTTCACTTCATTCCCGCTCTCTTACTTTTTCTCTTCTTTTTCCATATTTCGTATTCTCTCATTTCTCTCGAAACGACCGCCTCCCCCTCCTTCTACCGCGTTCTCCTCCTCATTCTCCTCTTTTCCTTTCCGCTTCTCTTCGCTCTCTCCCCTCTCCTCCCCCCAAACTACATACGAGCATGCGTGTCCACACCCACACGATGTAGCGTCCTTTATCTCTTTCTCTTCGTTGGATTCTTTTTTTTTTCCCCCTTCGATTTCTCTCCCTCCTCACCCTCTCCCTCCCTTTTTTTGCGCCTCTCGCGAATGTCGGCATTCTTCTCGTATATATACACCCAATTCCCCTTTCTTCCCGTCTTTGACCGTTGTTTGATTCGCGATCTTTTTTCCACGGTTTCATTCTCCCGTTTTCGTTCGTCTCCTTATTCTTCTTTTATCCATCTTCCCACCCAGCCGGTTCTCCCTTTTCTCGAATTCCTCTTACTCTCTCTTCGTATTTTTCCTCTCTTCTTTGTTTTTTTCCATCTACCTATTTCTTCTTCTTCTTCTTCTTCTTCTTCTTCTTTCTCTTTTTCTTCTCTTCTTCTTCTCTTCCTCCTCCTCCTCCTCCTCTTCTTTTTCTTCTTGTTCTTGTTCTTCTTGTTCTTGTTCTTGTTCTTCTTCTTCTTCTTCTTCTTCTTCTTCTTCTTCTTCCTGTTCGGACGAAACGACCATCGAATTTTTTGCTCCTCGACCTCGAAAGAAGATCGATCGATCGATCTTGTCACTGGACAACGGCAACAGTGGGTCCAGATTGCTCCTGCTGCTGCGATTCGATGCGATCGACTATGTATCCCTTATTTTTCGGATTCCATCCGAACGTTTCGAATTCGATTGAAATCTAAACCGGGGGAAATACGTTTGCACGCGGACGACGGTGTATCGACGTTTTCGACGAATGCTTAGCTGGTAACTAAAGCGTACGTTATCGAAGAAACGTAACGAAGAGATGATGTAAGATAAATTAGAACCGGAAATTCATAGTTGGATTCTACAACGTTGCTGCGCTCGCATTTACATTCGAAAATCTTCCATTCCCGATAAGAATTCGTTAACGTTTGCCGTAACGTGCAAAACACGATTTGCTGTGCTGACACGATGCTTTCAAATTTGCAACGACCACGATATTTCTTTCTCGATTTTCTCTCTTGAGCGAAGCATCGCTCAATCGCGTTCGATACGTATTCCATTATTATTGGGGATCGTTATCGATTGAAATTGTGATTGGAACGGATGAGAAATGAAGTTAAAAATCGATCGATATTCGATATTCGTTAGACGGAGAGATTGGAAGAGAGATTCGCGTGGAATGGAAGAAGAGAATGGGTCCAGCGATCGATGCGATGCACGAAACGTTGGCTGCGCGAATTCCAAGTAAGTAAGTAGACACGAACGACGAACCGGCCTCGATCCGCTACGAAGGTCACGGTCGCTGCACAGCCTAGGTCAGGCCCATCGCTTATTATCGCGTTAAGGCTGTCTCTGAAAGTGACAGGCCGCTGTTAGAACTCTCGTATTTTCGGACACCGCGTCTCTCCTATCGCGTATTTCTTTCTTAATCGGAGACACGACGACGTCGTCGTCGTCGTCGTCATCATCGTCGTCGTTTCCTCTTATGTAGCTCGGATCACACTGGCCTCCTCCTCTCCTCTCGTTTCACCTTCCTTTCGTTCTCCTTCCTCTTTTCAATCTTTTACCAACGTTTTCGCGTATCGATATATTATCGATTATATACACGATATATAACGTTGACGCAACAATAGAAAATAAATGAATTTAATTATCGATCGTTCGCACCGCTTGCGGGAGGATGAGAGAGAGAGAGAGAGAGAGAGGAAGAACGAACTCTTTTTTCTCTCTCTCTCTCTCTCTTTCTCTACGTATCACGCTACGTGTACGCGATATAATTGGATCGGTATCTCGTTATATTTTTGACGCGATATACTACCGTGTGTGGTAGATACGTATCTACTTTACTTATATACGCATCAGTCTTGGTGAAATTAATAAATCTGAAATGGATATATTAAACCGTTGGATAATGATAGCGTAGATAGTAGCACTGCGGTCAGCATACTCGCAGACAGGCGCCATTCCATCAGTGATTCTCAATTCGTTACGGTTTCTTTCGTTCTACGAGTGAAATGTTTCGAAATGCGAGAGATTAGAGAATACCAGAGCAAATTGTTCGCGTGCCATTGTTCCTTCGATCCATCCTCTATGTATTACGTTTCAAATATTGGAGGGAGAGGGAGAGGAAGGAGGATCGAAAATTCGAACAAAATTCTTTATTTTTTTTTTTTTAATTTCTACAATTTTCCCTAAAGTCTAAGTCTAATTCCATCGTCCAAAATCCATCGTAATAAATTTTTATTCGGTTTAAACTTTCCACAACCTCTCCCCATCTATACTTTTCCCCGATCGTTCCTCCATCAAATCCGATGGAAAAATTTTCGTTCGATCGTCGTGAACCGATTTCGAACGAGAGAATCGGAAGGGATGAATTTTCGCGGGAATTATTAGAAAAAAACAAAAATAAAAACGGAGGAGAAAACGAAAAACCAAAAAGGAAGAAAAAAAAAGGAAAAAAATGGATGATCGAGTCAAGGGTGAAAAATGGAGGATGAAGGGAAATAAATAGAAAGGGAAAGGGAGGAGGGGTAGGAGGAGGAGGAGGAGGAGGAGGAAAAATGAAGGTGAGACGCGATCGTTCAAGATTATCGTGCAAGATCTAA